GAATGTTAGACTCCAAAGCATACCCCAGTGCAAAAGCAGTGTCCCTGTCTTGAGGAAACACTGACACTATTAGGAAGACTGGTCTCCTGTGGAGACAGCACAGGTTATCTGATGTGTGAAGAGGATGACAGAGGACAGAGCAAGCTGAAGAGAGAGCCCAGACTCTCTGCTGGCTCTCAGAACTTTGGCAGGCTAAGCCTTTCATCAAGGGCTCACTGCTGGTCAAACCGTTTGGGAAGCCCTGGGTTATGGAAGAATCCCTTGGTGTCTTGTCCAGAACTCCCTGCCTTTAATACGCCCAGTGCACTGCGGTGCTCAAAGAGGGCAAAGCGCCGCGGGGGTTTTCGTGACGGGCTCTCTCTGGTCTCACGGCATCTTGGAAGACTGCTATCTCGGGAAGAGCTGTGTGGGAAACGCCTCCAACAGCATCCTCAGAGGTAGTCTGCCCGTGCGCTGTATCTTTGTTTCCGCGTACTTCCTTCCCTAGAGCAGCCAGTCACGATTCTGCCGTCAGACGCCTCTGAGGGAGGGAAGCTCTTCCCACAGTGAGGCCGCTTTGAACTTCTCGACTCTCCAGTGACAGGAAGGCACAGGGCTGGGCTCTGCAACAGTAAGCTGTGCGCGGGGGATGAGTCAGTGTACAAGTCTTGGACTAATTATCTCTAAAGACTGTGGCATCACAAAGGGAAGAGCACACCAAGTGGTTCTGTGGATTCAAGCTCTAATTTTAGCAGCAAATAGCCGGATTGTTTTTTTCCTAATAAAATCTTCTGTGCAACTCACCACAAGAACGGGCTGGTTTGGGTTGCAAAGGAGTGGGAACCCTGTTCTCTCCCCCAGATGATGACATTTAAAGCACCTCAATAGGATGCTGTGAAATTATAAAAAGCACTGATTTAATGTATTCTGCTGGCTCTGAATGAGAAGGTATTTCTGCCATTCCACATACACGGATAATGATCTTGTTGTAAAAGTTGTCAAAAAACAAGAGATTTTCACGGCGTTTTCCTCTTTTTCCTGGCATATAAACCCTCCTAAGCAGGGTGCTGGTTTTCATCTGTATAATCTAAAAACAGCCCAGTGCTGCTCTGCTGCTTTGGCTCTCAGCCCGCTGTCAGTCACGAAGGGCCGGTTCCCGGCGGGAAGACCCTGAGCTTTCTGGTGAGAAGAGTCTGGTTTCCGTCAGAGAAAACGTGCAGCACCCGCTCTTGGAATTGGCCTCAGGGACTCCCACGACCTCTGTCAGCTCAGATGTGGGTCCTTTCTGCAGGGTTCCAACACGTCCTTCCTTCAGGGGTGAAAGAGTATGTATGTGCCACAGGGAGGCGGTGGGGCCCTGCCCTGTCCGGAGGTGCTGGGCTCTTGGGTGACCCACATCTTCCATTTACCCAGAGATAAGGCTAGGACCCCGTGTGTTTAATTACAAACAGGATGTCCCTGCTAGTGCTCTCCCTGACTTTGCTAAAAATAAAGCAGGGAAGTAGCCTGGTCTCATCATGGTTTAATCCCATTAAATTTGGGGTAAAGAACTGGAGCTCATAAAATACACGAGTGGCTTCGGATCGATGCCTGGGACACCACTGTGCCTCGCTCTGTGTGCGGGGCCCCACATCACAGCCTGCTCTCCGTGTGGAAGAACTGATGCACCCTGGAGGAGAAGTCTACTCTGCCCTGCAGGAGCTACGTGGGCACGGAGCCTCAGGCCCTCGTGGAGGGCACCGGCTCTGCTCGCGTCTGGGCGCTGTCTGCTTGCTTGTGGTACTACATTGTCCTTGCTTCTCTGTACAGCTCCGCTGCTCCAGCCGAGTGCAGTCACACTGCTGCTCTCCCAGCACACACAGTGTGCTTGGTGTTCCGCTCACCACAAAGCCTAGAGTGAGGCAGGATGGTTCCTGCTTCAGGACTGGCTGCTTTGGCATCCAAATCCCAACCTCAGGGGATGGGAGTTCCAAAGAGCGCCCACCCCTGCAAGTCTTGCCCCACCAGGAGTCCCCAAGGTGCCGGTGACCTTTCATGGCAATCAGGAAGTCATTCTTGGACCGACTCCCCCACCTAAGTGGGGTGCGCTGAGAAACAGGGCGCCCTGGGTCTGCAGACGGGTCATTCTGGGAGTCGGGGAGACAGAAGAAAGGAGAGCGCATGTCTGTTGCCTGCTGTGTCCCCACCTCTAGCCCAGAGTGGAAGCAACTGTAGAATAAATTAGGAACGACTGATGTCTAATTCTCTGAACACTACTGCCCGAAAGAAAGGAGTAGAGGCAGATTCGGTGCGGGGTTGCCAATCGGAAAGTCAGATACACTACCGCGCCGTCCGCCACTGCTTAAGGAGAAATAGCACCCTTACCTGGCGTGGGGCCACACGCTGACCCCTGCTGTCACACTGCACCCCTCTGCCCCTGCCGGCCACCCTGTCATTTGTCCCAGCTGGGCCTCTTGGTGCTTCTCTGCCATTTGTCACCTCATCAGGCCCCTTGCTGTCCCTGTCTCTGCCTTGACCCTGATATGCCCCTGCTGTCACAGCACCTCCTGGGACATCTGCCCTCCTTGGCCAACCCTGCAATGGTCTTACACTCCTTCCTCTGGTTATTTAACGCCTGTCACCTTATTTCATAGTGAGCCCTACGGGGGCAAAGGCCGATATACCTGGCCCACAGCAGCAGCTCAGGAAGTGTCTGATGAGTGGGTGACAGTCTCACTATGTACCCCGGGCTGGCCTGGAACTCCTCCTGCTTCAGCCTCCTCACCCCTGGGGCTACAGGTGTGCAGCACCACACCCAGCTAACGGGGGAACTTGGTAAAGAGAAGTAGAAGAGAAGAACGGTGGGAGAAGAAAAGACAAGGGAAGGCGAACTGGGTGGGGAGCGGATATTGCTGCTCACAGCATCCAAAGGACAGAAGAACACAGCAGGCTTCCTGGAGGACGCCCAGCTGGACACTGGCCCTCACTCTTGCAGGAGCTGGAGGAAGAGGGGAGAGAAGGACGTGAACCCTAGGGTGAGACAGTGTGGACAGAGCTGGGTCCAGGAAAACAAGGTGTGTGTCAGAGAGGTCGGGGGACCTGGTGACAACAGTCTTTGTAAGCAGCCAGCCCGGGGAAGCCCCTAGCCAATCACGGACAGTCATGGACACGGCAAGTGGTCCCTTGGAGCAGCTGGCAGCAGGACCTTCCGCGGGCTGGACCACAGTTGGGAAGACTGAGGACAATGATGTGACGCACAGCCTGCTCAAGGCTTGCAGTGGAATAGCCCAGCCCCAGCCCAGGGCTGCTCCGTCCATTTGAGGCTGAGCTCTGCTGCTGGAAGGTGTGGACTCCTGCGCTCAGGAACTCACCACACACAGAGATGGTGTCTGAAGTGTGTGTGTGTGTGTGTGTGTGTGTGTGTGTGTGTGTGTGTACCCTGGATTCCGGTTTGCCCGGGTCAGGAGTTACAGAAGACCTCTGCGATTAGCAAGGAAATGCCAGGCAAGGTCACTAGACCTCAAGCCTTCAGCTGGGTCCCTCTGGACCCATCTCAACCCCTGACCTGTCCCAGTTCCTCCAGGGAGTTAGGAGTCTCCGCATCCTGGCACGTAGCACTGGGACCCTGGCACTGACGATGGTATAGACTTGGGCAGGAGGAGCTGATGAAGGGATGGATTGTGGGTGGCTGAGCCTGCGTTTCTTCAGGAGACCCATTGGCCGTGAAATGCCGTGCCTGTGGGCGTGACCTTCCTGCTGGTCCTTCACAGGGAGGCTGTTGAGCTGTTCCCACCGCTTGTGTTCCTCTAAGACGTTCAGGAGCTGGCCCGAGGGGTCTCCAAGGACAAGTCAGCCCAGGGACAGTATGCTACGCTAGCGCCGCTCATTTTCACTCTGTCTTCTTGGCCGAGACTGGATTATTCCACGTCCAGAACTTCAGAGACTTCAGGCTGGGTAGAGGTTTGAACCACCAGTGTTGGCCTCCATCTCTCCTGCATGCAGGCTGCTTCCTTCCTCTGCCTTCCTCTTCCTGTCTCTCCACTGTCCTGCTGGACCCAGAACTCTAGAAAGTTCTGGAATTTTCTCCCACTTTCTGACAAAATGCACTTTTCCTGAAACTTTTCCCCAGAACTAAGGCTCCCAAAGCCAATCTGATTAGCAAAGTCATGATCTAGGGATATCTGCGCTGACTTCACATTACTCTTCCCATATACCAGCTTCCTTTTTTGAATTTTATTTCCATTAGTCCGTGTTTGCAGTCCACGATGATTCCATTTGTCACAGGGGTTGGCCCAGGTATACAACGCATCTTCACCCTTCTTACGTCCCCTTCCCCTCCTCTTCCTTTCTCCTCCCTCTGTCTCTTGGTCCCCTTCCATTTTCAAAAGACCCATCTCCCTGTCCTCTGGGGTCTTCCTGAGCCCATGAGAGGCCACAGGTGGGAGGGACAGTTTTGGCACTGCTCACAGAAGGGCATTCCACAGATGTGACCAGCCTGGCTCAGGCTGAGATTGTGAAATTATCTTAATCCAGAACTCCAAGGGCAGATTCTCTCCCTCTTGCGGTACCTGGGAGTTTGCTGGGAAGGACTGGGATCCACAGCCTCCAGCTTTAGGGGGTAGCCCAAGGGTGGAGTGGACATCTGCCTGGGGCCTGTCAGGTGTCTGTCATCCTGTGTGACCTCATGGGCACTACAGCAGGCCCTGAGGTCTCTAGGTCCAATGAGTGACCTCTACATCCTTGCTCTGCGCACCAGCAACATGTGGGAGCTGGATCTCAGGCCCTGCTCTGACCCGACCTCACCCTGCTCTGGGACCCAGCATCTCAACAACAGATTCACATGCACATTACCTCTGCAGATGCAGCAGGTACGGCTCTTCTACCACATGTCACTGCACACAGCAAGCTCTGGCCTGGTGACCACACATCGTACATCAGCAGGGCTGGGTCCAGCGCTGCCTGCATCTGGGGTGCATTTGGAAGGCTTACTTACCAGTAGGGATTTGTGTGTCTATCTTACCCCCTGTTGCTTCTGTCCCCAGGCCATCTACAAGATGGTTTCCTCTGTAATGAAAATGCCTGAAGATGAGTCCACCCCGGAGAAAAGGACGGAAAAGATCTTCCGCCAGATGGACACCAACAGAGATGGTAGGAGTGGGGGTACTTGGCTTGCTCAGGCTGGGGCTGCTGGTGGAGTCCAGCTGGGGTTCCCTGGTCATGGACAAAATTGGGGGGTCCTGCACAAGGCCCAAAACACTGAGACAAGCAGGTTCTTTCAGACACCGGGGTGGGGTGGCAGTTGGGGTGGCCAGCACGCCTCCACCCACAACGGAAACCCACAAGCAGGCCAGCGAAGGGACGGTTGGATTCCAACTCGAGAGCAGAAGAGTTTGCGGGGTTGGGTGGCCGTGTAGAATACAGGAGGTCCAACAATTGAATGTGGATACATTGATGACACCTGTATTATAAGCAGGCCCTCGTGCAGCATTTGGGATGTACACTAAGGAATCATATGCCATCTGACTGACATTCAGAGCTAACCGGGTATCCTATGTAATCTGCCAGGTCTGGTGGTGCTGTTCAAATGCAGTGCTTGAGCTGAAGGCAGAAGCTCGAGGCCTGGTGCACCTGTAACTCTGCAGCTCTTGCTGTCATTACCAGCTCGCCTGCTTTGCCCAGGGGCTTGGCAACTCTTGGCATCGATGTGCAGATGTTCACCAGACCCAGGCAGCATCTCTGTCCGTGCCACGCCCGGGCTCTGGCTATCTGGGGATCCGGGTCTGCATCCAATGTGTTTGCTCTGTGCGGTGCAGACCTCCTCTCTCCCTCATGTGCTTGGATTCACAGCAAATAGTTCGATTGTTTTGCAAAGATTAAACAAACCCAGGATGATTTCATCAGCTACTGAACTTGCGATGCAAAGCTGCAGTGTTGCTGGGTGCAGGGAACACGGTGGGGCGGTGCAGGGCCCGCTCCAGGCTCAGATGGACGGGACAGCGCCCCCCCCTAGGCAGGCACTGGCAGGAGCAGGCTCTCCTGTGGGTGGGGTCCGATTCCCAGAAGGCAGCTCCCTGCCTGGGTCCTGAGCTTCCCCAGGGAAGGCCGTGTGAAAAAAAGAAACAGCCCAGCCAGGAGCAGAAGAGAGGAGGGAGAGAGGCTGTCTGTAGGGTGGTCAGGGGAATCGCAGGCACCAGGACACTTGGGTCCTCTCGCTCAGTGCTTGGTTTCCGGACCCCAGGTCACAGGCCACTGGGCCCCTCCCACCTGAGGCAGAGCAGGGCTCAGGTAGAGTCCCCTGGATTGGGTGCTGTCTGCCTCTCTCCTGTGACCTCTGACTTGTAAAGCCTGGCCCCACAAGAAAGTCCATGGGACACAGGTGGCCGTTCAGTGGAACAGTGTCCCTGGCTACCATGGTCCCAGGCCTGCTTTTGAGATTCCTGGGTGTGGAAGTGACCGCTCCTGCTTCCTGTCCTCCTCACAAGTCATCGCCACATAGAGGAGAGCTCGGGTAGGGGCTCAGGTACCAGCAAATGGCCCTGAAGGTCTCCACTGGAAAGTAGGTCCCCGGGGCTCTACCGAGGCTGCAAGCAGCTGAGCGGCTGAGGCCACCAACAGGAAGTGGGGAGGGGGTGACGGCCGGCAGCTGCCACTGCCAGCACTCACTCTCCCTGTCCTCTTGCCTCTAGGAAAGCTCTCCCTGGAGGAGTTCATCCGAGGGGCCAAAAGTGACCCGTCCATCGTGCGCCTCCTGCAGTGCGACCCCAGCAGCGCTGGCCAGTTCTGAACCTGCACCGAGTCCCGAGCTGCCTGCCCCCTCCCCACTCCTCTGTATAATGAGTTGTTTTTTGCCAAACAATACTGATGGCGGCGCTGTCCCCGTGCGGCCGGACGCACCTTCTTCCGTGACACCTTCGCCTTCAGCTTCCTTGTCATCGTGGACGCTTCCTGGGAATGCAGAGCCTGTGTGCTTGTGGAGCGCATGAACAGATGTCATAGTGTCGTTGTTTTGTGACTTTTTAGCCGTTATTATTATTTGTTCTTTGGACCCTAATGTCTCTGTTCTAAAACCCAAGACTTGGAGGGCAGGGAAAGGAATCGCATCCAGCCCGGTGACTCTACTGCACGCTTCTGGGGGCTTTGTTCAAAAGGCCAAACCCATCTGGGTTTGCTGTCCTGCACACCCTGGGGACCACGGATGGGGCCAGAGGCTGGCTTCCCTGAGGACAGTCACCCTCTGGGGCAAGGCTAGGAAGGGGTGCTGGGGCACCCCTGTGAGCCCCACTTCACGGCCTGGTAGGCTGTAGTTTCTAAACTGTGAACGTTTCAAGGTCATTTAGGAGCGGGTGGAATAAGAGAGCTCAGCTGGCTTTTTCCACGTTTACACTCGAGTTAAGATGACTTTCTTCAGAAATCAAACACAAATGGTAACATATCCCCAAACCAGACCCATCTTGTTGCCTATTGTGATTTCAAAAAAAAGAAAGACTGCTGTATATAAAATCCTAGGTATTGCAGACCAAATTATTTTGCCTTGTAAATGCATGTTTAGCGAGCACGAATACAATCTAACTGTGGAAGACTGTTTTCAGCAGCTTATTGTGAAGTAAGCCGATCACAATGAATGTCTGTCTTGTTTTAAAGTCATATCTGTCTTTGCACAAATGTATCAATCAACAAGTATATTTTATAATTCCGTAGAGTTCCCGGCGACCGTGACGAGGGCCCAGTTTTGACTGCGTGTTTTCCCAGTCCGGTGGCTGGAGAACAGAAGCAACAGGTTTAGGGGAGTCAGGAGGGTGATTTACGAGGGGCTGAGGCTGTGGTTTTCTGGCTCAGCCCAGCGGCTCGCTGGCAATGTGAGTGGGGGGTTGCAGGCGAGGTGCTTTTCTGAGCAGGTGGGCATTGGCAGATTTGGAAAAAACAGGCAAGTTCTAGGGACTTCCCAGTGGGCTGACTCCATTTCTGTCCCTGGTGGCCTTCACAGAGCCTGAGTGCGGCAGTCACGGAACGCGCTGTAAGAAGCCGAGTGTCCGGGGCCTGTGGCCCAGCCTGGGGAACCCAGCAGTGCCTCCCATCACTCTCTGAACGCAGATTGCTCTCTCCAGAGGTGACAGATGTGAGCTGCTGTCTGTGCACACTCAAACTGCTGGGGCGGTCAGGCCATAGCCTCATAAGCCGCTGCCCTGGGCAGGTCCTGAGACCCAAGGATGTAGGTGCGGAGCTGCCTCAGAGAAGGCTGGAGGTCCCCAGGGGTTCTGTCTGCTGCTGAGCCCCCTCCTGTAGGATGGGAGCTCAGGGGGAGAAGTGTAGCCGCGAGGGAAACAAGGCTGCGCCTGCTCCAGCCTCCACTTCCTGGGTGTGGCTTGAGTCCCTCCCGGCTGGGGTCAAAGATCCACATTTCTATGGCGGACCAACTAGAACTGGCTGTGTAGTGTGAAAAGCTGAGGCCTGGACTCAGGCGTCGTAATCTTCCTCTGAGCGTTAATTCCTCACGTTCCACGCCGAGACTTGCCAAACTCCTCTAGGGATGAGCAGGAAGGTCCGTTTTGGAGAAATGGGGAATTGCCCTGAGTCATGGCGCAGAATGAGGGGAGGAGCGAGTGTGCTTTATCCATCGCACCAGGGACCAAGAGCACCGTGCCTGCTCTGGACTGAGTGGGCCCGAGTTCCTCTTCTCAGTGCTCTTGTGATGAGTGGAACCAGTGCTGGGACCCTCGCCTGGGACCTGCCCTTGTGCAGCTGGCTGGGATGAGCCACGGACAAGGTCTCTGGTGTTCTGGGAACAGGGCCGGCGCACGGCCAGTGAGGGCTGCTGCTCCCAGAAGGAAGAGTTCACGCTGAGCTGTGAAGCCCTGGCCCGTCTGTACTTTCTCTGGGGCTGTTTTCCGTCTCCTCCTTCTCCTTCCTAGGAGGCCTTGGCACATCTAACCCAATGCACTCAAGTTTGGCCAAGGAACCTGACGGCTCGCAGAGGCCCGGATGCCTAACTCCATCATGCCTGTGCGGGGCCATCATCTCTGCTGTGTCCAGGGACCGGAGAGTCTGTTCTGTCCCCAGTCCAGCCTGCCTGGGACGGGGGACTGGGACCAGAGCTTGTGACCTGGACGATGCTACAGATTGCTCGACTGTTCCTATCTACTGGACTCGGGGAGGTGCTGTCCCCCAGGCGCCCACCCCAGGGACTGCCATGCTCTGATCACGTGTACGAGCCCTTCACATGGAGTGGCCCCATGTAGGTCAACTTTGTGTAGCTCTTGCCTGGCATTAAAGCATGTGGATTGTTTAATATGATTGGCTGGAGCGTGAGCTTTTCCTGACAGTGCTGCTGCCCCAGTGGGGCTGTGCAGAGGGAAGTCCTGGGTGTGGGTTCTGGCCCCCTCTTGGGGACAGTTTCTGTCCTTGAGACCCCAGGAATGGGGTTGTGACTGGGGTAGGGGGAGGCTGCTGAGCTCAAAGTCCTGTCCCCAAAGCACGCTCGGTGTGTGCACGGCTTCCTGCCTCCCTTCCCGCCACAGCTTCCCTGTTTCCACTCTTCTCCTTGCCCACACGGGGCAGAAAGCAGGTACAAGAAGGGGAGGCTCTGCAGCGCCCTTCGCCGCGGGGGACCTCCCAAGAGTCAGCAGTGCGTGGCACGCTGCAGAGGCCACGCCCAGAGCCCTTCAGATCCAGCTGTTTGTTTCTGTTGCTGTCACTGGCCCTTTCTCCACCCAGGAGGCCAGCGCTGTGGGATGGGGTCACTAAGGTGCCACCTGAGGGTGCACTAGAGCAGGTGGGCAGCGGGGCCTCCCCAGGGCGCTGAGTCTTCCTACTGTGCATAGCTGGTCCTGATGGACTGCAGTGCCCTGGTGCTCTGGAGTTCGGGCACGGTGCTGCTGGAGGGAAGGTGGCTGGGGCCTCCAGCCTGGTGCAGAGCTGCACTCCTAACAACTGCTGGCACACTTCCACACCCAAGGCTCCTGTTTGCTGGGCATTGAACCAACGCCATGGTCTGGGTGACCCGCCAGTGAGAAGGAGCTGAGTTCTCTTGGCCAAGGCAGTGAGGCGAGCTGGGGCACTAGCCCGAGGAAGTGAGCCACTGCCCGAGTCTCTCTGGACTTTGCCAGGGGTGTGCTCAGAACCTCCCCAGAATTTTCTGGTTCTTGAGACAGTTGAAGAAGCAAGAGAAAACCACTGAGTCTTGTATTTCCAAGTCGGTGGGCTCTCCATCAAATCCAGCTAGAACAGAAGGACTGCTGCACAGGGAGGAGGCGACCGGGCCAAAGGACCTGCCGGTGACTGGTTTGCTCGAGCGGGTCTCCCTGCCTTGGAAGGCTGACCGCCTGCCCGTGGCGTGGGGCAGTCCTGGGCAGCTGCTCACCAGGCACTGAGTGCAGTGCCTGGTCTGGGCACAGTCAGGACGATGCAAATGACAGCACGGAGCTAACTCACGGGCAGCTGGGCACCGCCAAGGCTGCAGGGAGGCGTCCTTCTGGGCTTCTTCTCCGCAGTAGTCCAACAAAAGGCTGGCACACTCATGGCTCTTCAGAACAGGAGAAAACACTTGGGCCTGCCAACCTCAACCCGTGTTAAATACTCACCCGAGCCCCCAGCACCAGCTCGTGTGCACACAGCGGGTGGATGGCTCTCTGGGACGCGTCTCCCGACAGTGGTGTGGGCGGTAGTCTCGGAGGTGTGAGTGCTAGGCTGAGGGAGGAGACAGTCGCAAAGTGGACCTGGAGGGCAGCGCTTGCCTCAGCTCAACAAGAAGTTCTGTCCAGGCTTGAAAACCACTACAAAGCAGCTTGCATGGCAGAGCACAAAGTGAGTTCCTCCCGCAGGCTACACAAGGGGTTCGTGTGGGCCAGGGAAGTCAGCGGGGTGCCCGTCGTGGGTGCCTTTTTAAGGGGCCCTTCCTCTTCGGTTGCTTTTTCTGGTCAGAATCCCCCGTCTTTCAGCATTCCTGAATCTCCAATGTGAACTCACGCACCACGTAGAGGAGCAAAGAGAAGCCCAGGGCTGAAGGATCTCCGGGGACGGAGGCACCAAGGTGACCGCTCAGGAAACTCAGCGAATGCCCCTCTCCAGGGAGCTGGCAGGGGTGGCACACAAGGTGAGCCTAGTTCACCCAACAGCAGGCCAAGAGGGAGGCCACCGGGGTCTCCAGTGTGGCCCGGCAGGCAGGGGCCAAGGAGAGTCAGCTTGCCCGCAGGCAGGGGTACAGCTCTGGATAACAAGCCGCACAGCCACTGCTGTCCCCTGGCTGACCCCAGACCCTTCTCAGTAAGCACCCTCTTCGCTGGCCCTGCTTCAGACTCAGAGGGCACTGGAGATGCCACCGGGCTGGGGACTGGGGCACGTTCTGGAAGGCAAATTTCAGTCAAGATTTGGAAGCCGTGGACATGGACAAAAGAAGGGCAGTTGCTACCTGCTTGAAGGGCCACTGTGGTCACCAAGGAAGTCACAGCTGGACAGGGACGGTGTTCCGAGCTGGGAGTTCCGGGGCAAGGGAGTGTCACAATGCAAGTGGAGTCGGAGTTACTTGGTCTTTGCCCCCAGAGAGGTTGGCCTGGGTGAACCAAGGGAGCAGAAAGCTTCGGTGGGGGGCGGGGGGAGTCCAGTAGGGGACGGGACCCTGGGGGGCGCCTTCGGGAGCGATGGGTGGACCCCTGCCCTGCGGGCCTGCGGGGCCACACTGGAGCTGGGTGACATCTTCCACCCTCTTCTCAGTTAGCCCTGGGCAGGGGAGTCTGCTCTGCAGCAGCTGAGGCAGGCAGGCGGGTGCCGGAGGCCCCTGGCCCCCAGGTCTCTGAGAGGCCTCCTGCAGGCAATGCCCCAAAATTCCAACAGGAAGAGCCAACACTGCCGTTTGATTCTTATGTTATGAATATTTATTTTCTTCTTAAAAATGTACAAAAAATAAAATAACTGTATTTATAGTTTATAGATTTCCCCTCTCCCATTTACAAAACTATTAAGTTACATTTACCTTTTCTTTTTACTGCGAGAGCAAACTGTACATATGCAAGTCTCTCTTGCTCAGCTTCAAGAAAGGGCCATTCTCAGAATTTGGCACAAACCCTCTGTTTCTGTTGCTTTTTCATCATGTTAAATAAGGAGGAAAATAAATGCCTGACTCACTTCACACTCCGCGCCCGCCTGGGCTGCGACGCAGCTCCGTCTTTCAGGAACTGACTCCAAGACGACGTCCGCGTGCCTCTTCCTGCCAGTCCCAGCTTATGAGCGCTCGTGCGGCCTGAGCTGGGGGTGCGGAAGAGCAAGGCTGCTTACGCGTCCCCCACCTCTTATGCACTGCCAAGAAAAGCTTACTCATTTGGGAGTGACTAAGGGACAAGGAAAAGAGGAAGGAAGTTGTCCTCCTCCCGGAGTGTTTTCCTTGGGAAGTTTTGATCACAGCTCTGCTCACTTGCACAGGGAAGGGGTCACCGAAGCTCACTGTGGGCACTCTGAGGACGTGGGTGAGACGAGGGGGTGGGGCGACACTCCCCACCACCCCTGGTGGCATCGGCCTCGTCACCTTTGTTCTGGCAATGGTCACCACAGAGGCAGAAGCGTCTCCCATCTGTCTTCTGCCTCAGACAGAGCCGCAGTTCCCGAAGGGACTGGGTCTCTCCAGCCCGTGTCTTGTGTCCGGCTGCCACACGTGGTCTTTCCCTACTCCGGAGCCCTGAGCTCTAGCCTCGGGCCTGCCCGTCCCATCCGAACCGATTCCTAACCCCAGGGGCACAGGAGGTGCAGGCTCCCACAGACTTCCAGCACGGAACGTGTCCATCCTAGACCTGAGCCCCGCAGGGCCCCAGGCTGGCCCTGAGAGCTGCTCTGGGGGACAGTGGGAGCACAGCTGAGCCCAGGTGGCAGACTTGCGGTGCCACGGGGAGAGGTGACGGGTCCCAAGCTCACACAGCCCCAGTGTCACCTGCTCTCCATCCCATTCAACTCCTTCACAGCCTGGGGGCCACCGGCTGGGCTGGCCGGGCTGGTGATGGCCTGGCTCCTGTTCAGGCCTGGGGCACACGGTGGCGAGGGCGGAGTCTTGTAGTGCAGATGCCAGGGGAGGCAAAGTGCTTCACCAACCCATCCGTACTTCCCACGGAGCCTGTCCTCAGGCGGCACGCAGAGGGGGATGTGTCTGGCGTCCTCCAAACCGAAGGGTTCGGCCCAGCGGGTGCAGGCAAACCACTGAACTGCTGAGTTCCAGGAGTTCTCTGCGGGGCGCTCTCCCCTCTTCTGGGCAGCCTGCTTCCCAGCTCCCCAGAACTGCGTGCAGGCAGCTGCCCTTTGCGGTCCCCGGCACAGGAGGAAGCCAGGCTTGGTGCAAAGGATGGAGGACACCATGCAAGATGCCAGGCGCTGCGCAGCACCCAAAGTGTCCAGGACGGCTGGGAGGCCTTGCAGCTGGCCCATCGCAGAGCCCCAGACGAAACCGGAGGAGGAGCTGGGATGTGTGACAGCCCTGAGTGGCGGCGCTCAGTACCCCAGATGCCCCCAGGGCGAGTCTATCTTGGCTCCGTCACAGCCCCCAGGCCCCGGCGTGAGTTCTGAGCAGGTGCAGGAAGTGAGCCCCGAATCCCCAGGTGAAATATATTACAGCCATTTATACACACTATGTACACAACCATCGGGTGACGCTTTAAGCTCCTCCCCACCTCCAGGAGAGCAACGTTTCCCTGGACAAGGCCTAGAGCTGCTCAATGAAGGGGTTTAGCAAGATGACCCCCTAAAGCAGCCCCAAGTTTGTGTCAGGGTGGGGGCGTCCACCCGTGACCCCCGTGACCACTGCTCCAGGCGCAGCTACTTGGTCAGGCATCAGGAACTGCACGAAGTGAGAAAGGGAACGAGGAGTTTCCAGCTCTGGGGACGTGAGGACTGGCTGTCTCCCTCAGAGGGGGACTGTGGGCTGTCTCCTGCGGAGCCAGCAATGACCTGCAGAGCCTGGGTGGGCTGGACCCGGGCTCCGGAGAGGTGGCAATAAATAAGGATTCAAGAGCCCGGGGGGCGGTGGCTGGGTCCTGGCCGCGCCTTGGGTCCCAGCAAGGTCGCAGTCATGTAACAGCAGTTGTGAGATGACGGGTGGGGTGGGCTCCAGTTCCGGCCAGGGCCCATCTCCTCCGAGGAGCGTGCAGGGCTCCTGCAGGGGTGCTGCGCCCAGGCCTCAGATTTCCATGAGCGTGACCTTGAAGCCTTCCACCATGGTCTCCATGTTGAGGATGAAGGTGTCCTCGTTGGAGTAGTGCTCGATGATGTTGTCGTCCATGTTCACCAGGATGCTGCCATGGGGGGGGGGACACAAAGTCACGTGAGCACGCAGGGCAGGGGGCTGGGGCTGGGCTGGAGGGTGGGGCAGAGGCACAGGGGAGCGAAGCAAAGCCTCCCTTCCTCAGAGCCACCCTCGGGACCTCCAAGCTCACCCAGCACAGCCCTCTTGCTTTGCAGACTGGTAAACGAGGCTCAGAGCAGCTCGTGGAGGCTGACATTATGGCCAACACAGCTGGGACCCCTAACCACTTCTGTTCAGCTGTGAGGCCTCCGACCTTAACAGGGACAGGGAAATAAGCACGGACTCGGCCAGCTCTGGCTGAGCGACGGGGAGGCGCAGTGCCCCCAAGCGCAGTGCGGGGCTGAGCGAGGTTTGGAACTAGGTACCTCCGCACATGGGACTGCTCCTTGGCCAACTACCCCCGATGGATTTAGTTTTAAGAAAATCAACAATTTCCAGAGTTTGTTCATATTAAGAAGTCCTTGGGTCAATCACATCCTTGGAGGCCGGACAGACCTGAGTTTGAGAATGAATCCTGATTCTAGTCCGTTTAGAACAGCTCAGCTTGAGCGGCTGCCACTGGGTGAGAAAAGCAGCTGGCACAGGGCCGACACGGGCCCATGACAGCCCAGCACTGTCATCAGCAGGGCGCACACCTGCACTGAGGAGCCACTCGGCAAGGGACTCCGAGTCAGCCAGGAACGAACTGTAACGTGCGCTAGGCCCAAGCACAAGTGGCTCCTGCTTGACTCCTCTTTGCTCAGAAAGCCTGAGAATCCCGGATCATCAAGGTCCTTCGGGAAGGAGGTGCGGAAGAAAGTTTAGAGACCTCCATCTCCTGCCATGTGTAGGAACACAGCCTCAGGAGCTGAGGCCTGGAGAGGCTTCTCCGGGAGAAGCCCGTGGCCAGCACCCTCAGACAGCAGCAGTGCGAGCTGAGTCTTGAGCTCTGAGGCCAAGCCCAGGGTTCCAATCTGTTTCCCACTAACTGAACATGCGTCCTGGGGCCAGATGCTTCAGCGACTCTGGCTTGGTTTCCATCGGAAAAGGAGAAGTAGTGATGAAACTCTTAGCAGGAGACAAGAGCCGACTGAGAACCCAGTAAGTAAGAGCTGCCGTTCCGGACAAATGATTTCCTTGAAAGAAGTCTCTAGGTCCTAGGCCATGCCTGTTCCCATGGGGATACCCTGACACCAACCTCGAGGGCCAAGTGTGAGGACGCGCCAACTCCGCTCTTAGCAGAGGGGACCCTGCCACTCTCCCCAGTGCGCTCACCCCATCCCGACCCCTCTGACCACCTCAAATCCTGTCACGGGGACAGGGATCTCTGTTGGCCTGGTGACATGCGCCCCTGCCCTCCCTCGGAAAGACTCTGCGCACGCCTTGCTTGCAAGCTGCCCTGCGATCCCCCAGGAGGAAAACGCACTGCCGTGAAAGAGCAGCGACAGAAGTGTTTCAGAAAAGCGCCATGCAGGCCTGATTCGGAAGTGAGGTGAAGTTCAGTTTCTTTCTTACCCCTTTTTGCTTTTCTTGTAAAGCTTTGCGATCTTCTCCACGGGCAGCCCGTACTTCTCGGATATCTGCAACAGCAAGCACGAGAAGGCCATGAGCGCAGGGTGGGGCCCCGCAGGCCAGCGGGGAAGTCCCAGCTCCCCAACGTGGACAAGTTCCTGGCACACTGCAATCTCCCCCCAGGACTCAAGCCCCAACATGCTCGTGTGTGAGGTTCCCCTCTGGACAGACCTCCGGTCATTCCACAACACATTCAGCCACCTGGGAATGACATCTGTGCTAAGAGAGCATTTCACATCCATCAGAGAGAGAGGAACTCTAATCATGATGTTGAATTAAACAGGTAGCCATACAGAAAAAAAATTAACGAGTTAATTTGGACTTCTCTGGTCTTTACGTCAAAGAAAATATCAAGTGGATCAAAGATTTACATGTGAAAGATGAAACCATAACAGTACAAGAAGAAACCATAATTTTTTGCATTCCTGTCATCTTAAAGTAAGGAAGATCTTTCTAAGCAACACATAAAACCTGGGGCAAAAGGTTAATAAAACAACACAGAATTAAAAATGTCAGTGTAGCCAAGACCACCATAAAAAGCTGACGACAAGTAACACACCAGGAAACGTTTTTACAACACAAATGCCAGATATAAAACTAACTTCCTTAAATTAAAAAGAACTCCAGCACATCCAGAAAAAAATCTAACAACTCAATGGGAAAAGGAAGAAAACAAGAAAAAAGCAACTGACAGAAGAAAAAATATGGTCACACGATAATCATGAGATGCAACACAGCACTCATAATTTAAAATTTTCAGATTAAAGCAACAGTAGGAGCCACTTTTATCACATTAACAAAAATGAAAAATTAATAATACAGTGTCAGCCAGAGTAGGAGAAGTGGATACACTCATATTCTATAGCTGAGAGAGTAACAACCTCTACCCTTTTTGGAAAAGGACTTGACAGAAGCCATCCAAATACAAAGTGCACACAATCTTTGACCCACACATTCCATATCTAATTAATCTGGTCCTGCAAAAATTTTTGAAACAACATAATGCATAGAACATTTGCTAAACACATTTTGATATAGCACAGTTGAAAACCATGCAGTCATGAATAAGATGGGACGTTTACACGAATTCAGATTTTTAAAAGATATCCTTAATATATTATAGACAGAAAGAAGACAGGTTTCAGAACAGTGCATATAATGGGATCATACATATATATAGGGTATATATATATTATATAAAAAGTGTAGTTGAAATGTAGAATGAATATTTAGACTTTAAAAATTCATTTCAATAAAAGACACATTGCCATTAACCTCCCCCTCAAAACTCTCCTCACTTTGAACCCACTGATCCCATCACTTTGCCACTTTCTGCAGCAGTTCTGGAAGTCCTCCTTGAGTGCTTTTACAAGCTTCGATAAAGAATACGGTGACTGCTGCTGCCGAGCGCCATCCAATAGAAAGGCAGGCTCATAAGAACAGGACGCTGTCTTCATCCCCCTTATTCTTTGGATCTGGCACCATGTGACTCCTGGCTCTTCCCAAAAGTCAAAATGACCACGAAAGGTCAACATTCTGAATAGAGCCAGGACATCAAGGCAGTCACAACAGTGCAACTAAAAACACAGAAAGGAGAACTTCCAGAACTACTTCAGAGGGCTGGGGATGCAGCTTAGCGGTACAAGTGCCTTCCTGGCAAGTGCAAGGTCCTGAGTTTGATTCCCGGTACCAAAAAAGAAAAAACAACACCCAACTGTGTCAGAACTACTTCAGAGAGTGGCCAAAACAATGGGATAAGTCCCTGAAGTGAGGGAAGTATTTTGAGAGGGGTTATCGGTAATGTATCTTTTACTGTAATAATTTTTTTCATTTAAACACTGTATAAAGTACATAGAACATATTTACAGGACCCGCTTGATCTATTCTAGTGGTTTCTACTGACGAATGGACAGAGAAAAGGATATTCCTTCTGCTCTGTACAATTCTGCAGCTTATTCTGGGTTTACAGTGCCCGCATTCGTTTTATGAATACAAAGTAACAATCGCAGAGGAGGATTCTGGAAAGGCCTGCCCCAAACACCTGCCGTGCCTCCACTCCTCCAGGGGCTGGTGGGACCCACAGGCAGTGAGGCCAGAGAGGTTTGGGACTTGATTACTGGAAAATCTAGCAGAGGGCAGAACAAGAGGCCAGAGTTCCCGAACAAAGGGAACCACTCTGGACCCTGTGAAGATCTAATTCTACAGCGAATTGATTCCTACCCCACAGGACGAACTCCTACCCTGAAATACACCCAGAAGGAACTGTGCTGGGTCCGTGGAGCCAGAGGAGGCTGCACAAGCAGCCCACCAGCCTGCCGCGCGCCATGAGCTGTCCTAATGAGTGCCCCATGGCCACCACGGAGCCCCAGCGAGCCCAAATGGGGTAAGAGGTGATGCCTGGGAGGGAGGGGGCACTCCAGGCCGCACAGAAAATGTGCAAAGGCATCCATTCAAATGCAACGTAGAAGAAGCACTGAAGAATACACAAGAACACCTATGAAGCACACGTGCAAAATTCTGATCTAAAAATAGGATTATTGAGCTAAAAAAAAATTTAAGGTTCAGTAGATGAACTGAAGGATTGATGGCCAGCTTAGCAAACCGAATAGTGTCAGGAAAAATCAAGTCAAAAATTCTTAAAGTGCAAGGCAAAAACACACAAAAACCAAGAAGGAAAGGAGAGATTTAAAGAATAGAGGAGGGTCACACAGGATATAAAAATCTCCCCAGCCATAAAAGGAGCAAGTGAAGAAGAGGTGGCAACTGAACAAATGACAGAAGGAAGACCCATGTCTTTGGACAGGTGTGGGTGTCCTGCATCCCCGGAGATGCACCAGGAAAAGGCTCACACCTCAGGTGGTCCAACTGGTCAGGAAAACACACTGCACCTCCTGGACGAGAGGCCCAAATTGCTTAGTGGGGAGAAAAGATAAACCTGGTTTCAGCCTTCTCATGGGCAACTAGAGAGAAGGACTTCACCCTGAGTCCTCCACGTCAGCCAGCCGTCCCTTCTCACGATGGAGGAACAGTCTCCAAGGGAGACAAGGGTCAGACAGCGTCCAGCCAGGCGGCCCGCCTGAGGAGGAGAAGACTCAGAAAAAGGGCCCTATCTGAGTGAACATAGATGCACCGAAGAGACCTCGCACCAGGCCAAGGGGCAGAACACAAGAACCAGGGGTACAGCATAAACTTTAGAGTCCAAGTGCTTACCTGGTCTGAGGGTGTAAAATACAATATGCTCAACAGGATTCCTGCAGCAGGACATAACAAAGAAAAATCTCAACTGTGCCCCAGAAGAAAAGATGAAGCTATTCCAGCAAAAGCTACAAGTCAGGAGGTCCTGGGGATGGTCCAGGCTCCTCCTGGTGAGGAGAGGGCATGGACATCTCCCTTCACAAAGGGGCCCGGGGCTGGAGGCTCGGGGTGGAGAAAATAGCTGGAATTTTATTTTCATATAAAAGAGAAATGAAAGGAAAAGAGACTGGAAGCATTTAGGAAAAATAAGGATAACTTTAAATTTAAAATGGTGAAAACGAGCAATTTAATCTGACCGCAGGAAGCAGATGGAGATCACAAGGTAAAATAATCAACAAAATGAGGGCAGGGATAAAGCTAAGTACAGCGGTCATTCCACCAAACGCAAACACACTTCACTCTTCCACAGAAAACCAGTGTTGTAAGCAGGTGAAAATGACAAAAAGAAAGGTAAATAAGAGGGAGAGAAAGAAGGAGAACCGTGTTTGAAAGAAAACCACTGAATACAGTGAGATGAACAGAAGCTTTGATGACTGACAAATGGCCACACCAACAAGTGCAAACCGGAAGAAGCCGGTCGAGGGGCTGTTAGGCCGGTGCAGTGCAAGGCCGGGGAGGCCGAAGGGCGAGGTGCGTCGATAGAAAGTGCGACGGAGGGGAAAGGAACAGCGAGCCTGAGCCTGCGCGGCACCGCAGCACCGCAGCACCACTCACGGCGGGTGCACAGGAAGCCCTGACAAGAGCACAGTTACGATGGAAGACTTCAGTAGCTTCTTTTAGAGTTGGACAGATCTGGTAGACAAGGAAGAACAGCTGAACGTCTAACGACTCTATTTTATGTAAGATAATAAACACACATGCACATGGACGTCGCATCTCCGGCAGGAACTCTCATGTACAGGGTAACAAAGATAAACCACACTGGGTCGTTCTCAGCACAGCGAGAAGTCCCATGTTAAGTTATCCAAAACGTTTAGCCTCTTGGAAGTGCCGCTAAATGACCCGGATGTAGAGCATACCGCCTTTCGCAGAAGTTTACATTCCGGTGCCATTCCCACCTGACTGGGAAGACAAGCTCCATCTGCCCAGAGAGACGGACACTAGCAAGTTTCCTCGACCATCTTCATTCCTGTTCTTTCCACATCTGTAGCGCTGACGTCACTTTCACCCCCGACCCAAGCTCCCTCTGGAAGAACTACTACTCTCTTTCTTCCCATGTGGGCTGGACACGGTCACTGGGACCCACACTCGCACCTGCAGATCAAAGGGACCCACCAAGGCGAGCCGATTCTGCACCACAGGGCTCTGAGTGGGGCCTTCTAAAGACAGGAAGAAAGGAAGACCCAGGTGCAGCTGATTCTCAGGATTCTCGTGTGCTGGGGTTCTAGGATCAGTCAGGGACAGAGTTGGTGTGCGAGCAGCATTCTGCTTCCCCGGCATTTCTAGAGCTACTTCCTCTCCGTGGCTGGTCTGAGCCCTGGGATCTTAACACAGGGTCCACAGGGGCCTGAAGATTGTGCCCAGGAACTTGGGGAGAAAAACAGTTCTTATTTTCACTAACTCCCAACTGGCATTCAGCATTTCCTTCAGTTACGAACATACAGCAGTTTTGTGTCTTTTTTACCAATGGAAATCACAGATATTTTCAAGTCACATTAGAATCCTGCAGATATTTCAAAATATTGATTACACTCGCCCACCATATTTTCAAACTGTTCTAGTTATTAGCCCTTCTACAGCTCACGGCACTGAACTCATGAGTGAGGAGCATACTTCGTCCTTTACCACAAGCACGCTCTTATTTTGATGACTACATGAAACGACCCCAGGAAGGAGGAGACTGTGCAGGCTGCCCTGTGGCAGAAGCTGCCCTGTGCTGGTGAGCTCATCCACGAAGCCCTGTCTGCTGCTCGAGAAATGCATGCTGCATGGCGGTTCTCTCACAGGCCGTGAACAGGGGTGCTCCGATGCTTTTCCTTGTTTTCCAAGTTGTTTAAATGGAGCACACACTTACACAACTTTCAAAGTACCAACACCTGTAAAGATCCCAAAAACTTCCCTGGTACCCGGAAGATGGGGGGCGGGTCTTAGACACATCTCATCACATGTGATTGGCCGTGGGCTGTGACTGAGACTTCTGAGTGGAGCACTGGGCCCAGTAACTTCAGATATGCAATGGCAGAAGGTGGATGCCCTCATGGAGTCTCAAGGGTGTTGGGTTCAGCCTGCCTGATGGGGGTGGCACGGCTCCAACAGAGCTAGGTGTAGCCCCTAAGAGGCACAAGGAAGCCAGGGGCTCTTGCGTGCAAACACTCCCTGGGTGGCCACATGTGACTTGTGACCTCCATGCACAGGTGGAAGTGGGGCACTGCTCTTGCCTTGTGTGCAGTGGTGAGCCTCGATAAGAGTGTTCCTCTTCCCTAGCTCCTTCTGATGGAAGACTCTCAATCTGCCTCCCATCTCAGAGCACTTGCGGTCGCCCACGGATGAGTGTGTGCACAGTGTTTATCTGCAGAGTACTCCTAGGTGCTGTTTTAAACACCATGTTGCTAACTCCTTTACTCCTCACACCATGCCTATATTCCGTGTCTACCTCCATCATGCTATTCCTTACCCTTATTTTCATTTCGGAAATGACAGCCTTCGGTGGAGGCAGGCTGAGTAATGTGCCCCAGGCCGTAGCTCTCCTTCGAGGCAGAGCTAGCATCGGAGCTCAGCTCTTGGGTATGTGCAGGGTCAGCAACTGCTCCTGCCTGAGTGCTTATGGCCACCTCATCTTTCCTCTAGAGTCACTGTGTGTGTGACATGGGAAGCTGATTCTCCTTAGCGCATTTTTAGATGTGGGCATCCCCGACTGGGCTAGAGCTGCTCCAGAGTTTAGGATGGCTCCACTTTGTTGGAAAGCCTCCTTCTCGCCTCAGTTTCCAGGCCTGGTGAGGATATTTACCTGCCATGCTCACTGGTGTATGGTATGGGTCAAACAAAGCAGTACGTGTGACAGTGACATCACACTCAGCCTGCGGTCGAGCTGGATTCAGTCAGCAAGTACTTGTGCTCAAGGCTCTGGAGATACACAGCCACCAAGAGACAAAGCCCCTGACCCTGTGAACTTTACAGTCTGCCAGAGAGACAAAAACAGTGGACATCTAACAGATACTGTGTCAGGTTGAAGTAAAGCAAAACAGGGTAAGGGACAGAGTGAGGGAGATGCTCTTTACCTAGGTGGTGGGAAGGGCCCCCGAGGAAGCCACATGCAAGCAGAGTCCCAAGGGATCGGGCCTTGGAGACGTGGGGGAAGAGCGCTGGGAAGAGCGCTCCCGAAGAGGGGACTAGCAAGGTGGGGCAGTGCCGGGTTCATCAGAAACAGCCCTCACAGGAGCCTTGGACACCAGATCCTTTGCCTTTAACCAGACTTAAAACTTGCAACAATAAAGAAGCCAGTGTAACCCATCAGTGTAAAGTGATGAAAAGAAAAATCCCGTCTTCTTCAAAATTCTACCATGTGCAGGCTGAGGCAGGAGGGTCACTGGGAGTTTGAAGCCAGCCTGGGCTCCATAGTGGGTTCAAGACCAGCCTGAACTGCACAGGGAGACCCTGTCTCAAAAAACAAACAAACAAAAACCAAAACAAATTCCACCATCTTCACCATGTGGCTAAGCCCCCACTTCCACAGTCTGTGGCCCTCCGAGACTCCTCAAGTCGCAGGCCACTGTGACATCCTTTGCCGCTCACTGCAACCCGAGTCTGCTGAGGATGGTGAGGCGCCCCGTGCAGGCCTCAGGAAGCAGGGCACAGTGGGTGCTGGGTGTTACTGAAACCTTTTCTTGAACTGGACTCTGCCACAGTGCACAGGGTCAGAGGGCACCACGTGTTGCCCCTGTGGGTCCCAGCAACAAGGCAGGAGTGACTCAGAGCCAGCTGTGGGAGTGCAGGTGGAGCTGGCCAGGCTGCAGCCGGGTGGGCGAGAGTGCAGAGGACGGTTAGTCTCACGGTGGTGCAGTGAGGCGGTGCCCTCAGGACAGCTGTGACACCAGTCAGCTGTCACGGAGTCGGGGGGGAAAAGGCACCCAGCACGAAGGTGGAGCGCAGCCGCAACCCAGGTGGCCGGGACCAGTGACTCCCACACCTCGCTCATCGCAGAGGGCTGCGGAAGCTTGAGAGAAGTTGGTCCCTGGTCCCCCAAAGCTCCACCCCGCCACCCACCACGCAGCAGAGCCAGCCCCGCCGGCGCGGAGGACAGCAAGATGTGCTGCGCTGTGGTGACGTCTGCGTGCCCACGGTCCGCGCTCGGGCGGCTTGGCAGCGTGGTACGGAAAGCAGACTGGAGGGCGACGCTGTGAAAGGCGCCCAGGGAGCTCGGGATCATGCGGGTTTCATGAGCTCATTCATCTATCCACTGGGAGCTTTAGGACCATTTCAAGAATCTCAGTTCATGTGAAGAGAGGTACGTTATGTTTTTGTCACATTCATTTCTGTTCTTGCTTTTCATTTATGTGAGGCTGAAGCCTCACAACAAACTCCGCTGCAATGAAAAGCGCTGAGAACCAGGCCTCTGTGGTGTTTCTGGGCAAGCTGTCCGTCTGCCCAGTTCAGAACGCCTGGGGACTGGCAAACAGCACCAGTGCAGAGGCAGCGCCAAGGCGCACTGCAGACCGTCCTGGCCTTATTTATTTAATTTTGGTACTGGGAATCAAACTCAGGACCTTGCGCTTGCCCGGCAGGCACTGTGCCGCTGAGCTATATCCCTGGTCTGGCCTTACTTTTAAGAGGTCTAACGAACACAAATATATATGTCACACAGTTCATCATAGTAGCTTTTTAAAAGTGTATAACCCACTAGCGTTTCAGTACATTCACCAGAGCATTTGACCGGCATTACTCTGTAATTCTGTAACATGTTCCGCACCCCTGAGGGTAGCTCCTTAGGAGTCCTCCACCTCCTGCTCCCGGCCCGGGGCAGCCACTAACTTGCTTCCTCCTCAGGGAAGGCGCCACCCAGATGTTACTTAGAAACTGAATCATGCAATACTGGGCTTCTTGTGTCTACCTCAGC